CCCCCATCTCTGTGCCGGGAGTGCCGGATGAACGGATGATCCGACACTCTCGGCGCAGAGATGGGGGGCCCGCTGGGTACCGATCAGGCGCTGGGACTGTACTGGGCCCCCCAACGCCCGAGGCCCTGGTGCGCCCGCACTGCCTGCACCGGCCGTAGTTCCGCCACTGTCTATTACATATACCATTGAAAGTGTTCTGTTATTTATATCTGTTGAAGAAGTCCTAAAATATACCTGTAATTCCAAGTTCCCCCCCCCAAGCTATTCTGCTTTCTCTGTTCTCCAATTTCTGTCTCCCCCCCTTATAGCCATTTTCCTGATATAAACTGATGTTCAGACTGTTCGTTTGGAGACTATATTATGCGGTGCTAGCAATAGTGGCGCTAGACTAATCCTTATCGGGCTGATCTAACAAGTTTACATAGGTCTGTATAGTCAGAGTAAAGGTTAACCCCTTATGCCATAAATCCTTCACACACTGTAAGTTCCTTAGCTTTATATACTATGTTATTTAACCTATGGCGACATGTATAAAGGCCTGCGGATATCAATACCGGGCCACCAATGTTTTACTTTCATCCTCTTGTCTCCCAATGTCATGTTTTATACTAATTGAGTTTTGATATGGATTGTTTGAATCCTGTTAAAAATGCTAATAAAAACTGATTCAACACTAAAATATACCTGGAGATCCTGCAAGCTGACAACTTCCCGTGCTGCACATTGTTTCCAATTCTCTGTGGACTACAGAATACTTACCCTCTATTCTGAGGAGATAAGAAGAGGGGAAGGTTTTTGTAGTCCTGCTTATCCATAGATACAGTACAGTGAGTGAGTCTTGTCACCCTGGGAGAGCAAGTGTATTAGTGGCAGGATCACCAGGTGAAAGGAAAGGAAAAACAAGCCTGAAAAAAATGAATGCAGCCACCACATCTAAGCTGCAATATATTACATGTTTGTTCAAGGGTTTAGGTATACTCAGCGGCCGCTATGGGGCCTAGGGCACTTGGGGGACCAGGCCAGGATGAGGAACAAAGTGGTCCCTCTGAAGCTGTGTGGGTCGCTATGGCATCACAGGATGCTGGCTGTAACTGGCGGCTGTTAGTGATCTGGACAGCGGTTCATTCCTCCTGACAACCTGTTCCTCCTCACAGCTGCTGCTGAGTCAGTGACAGCCAGCAGCTTGCAGGGGAGGAAGCCGGTGCCTGGCGGCGGCAGCATGAGAGGAGGCGGGACCCAGCGACGGTGGAGGAGGCGGGGGCCGCCAGTGACCAAGGAGGAGGTGGAGAAGGCTGACAGCGGATCGGGACTGACAGGTTAGAAGTGTGCAGGGGTGTGACCAGCCAACCTGAGACCCTGTAGAGCCCACCATAGAGAGTCTATAATGGGCTCTGCAGGGTCACTCTTAGATGGGCTGTGTGGGATCTCAGGTGGGCTCTGCAAGGGGTATAACTAGAAATCACAGGGCCCCATACAAAATTTTGCTATGGGGCCCTGTTATAGAATATATGAAGCACTTTACTTTAAATTTGCCTGTGGGTTTGGGGCGTGTTCAGTTGCTCAGCCGCTGCGAGTGCTGAGTTAGCAAACCGCCGCTGAACGCTGTGCTGCAAGTCAGCGCTCAGCACTGCTAATTTAGCACTCGCAGCGGAAGTGAATGTGGATGCAGAGCGCTGAGTGTGATGGAGAAGGTGGGGACAGAGCACCAGCGGCCATTTTAACTGTGGGCACACCTGACAGCGCTGGAGAAAGGTGCCTGAACCCCGATGAAGGAAATCACAATTCAGTGTGGGAGCCTACATTTTAATGTTTTGGTGGTCGAGCACAGTGCTGCAAAACAGCTACTCAGTGTTTGGCTAAGGAACCGAATGTGCCTCTGTTAGCCAGTCCAACAGCCAACCGAAGAGGTGCACATGGCAGGCTGACAACCTTGCTGCTGATTGTGAGGCAGTGGCTTAACATTGTCATCCTGTGGCAGGAAGCACTGTTATTGGCAGGATCTCCAGCTAAGAAACTTTACAACAGATTCACAAAAATTATTTGCTTAAGAAAACTATACAGTGAGACACAATGCCAAATATATTAAAAAACAGATTTTTGGGTTTACATATATTTTGTGAAGTGTAGTTAGATAGATTGTGGTCGGGGCTATCCCTATAATGAGGCGATTCATATCATTTTGAGAGCAGCAGGTGTGGGGAGCCGAGGGGAAGGGGGCAGAGGGAAGGCCACAGCGTCCCAGGTTGCTACGAGCTCTTAGTAACCGGAGATACTCTGTCTGGCTTCCCGCCCAGCTCACTGACAACATTGGTTGCCAGGGAGCTGAGCGGGACACTGAGCTTCTGGCAACCAGTGACATCAGTGAATTGTTGCGCTATATAAATCCTGTATAATAATAATAATTGGGTGGGACCGGACAGGTGCTGACATGCACAGCTCTAACACAGCCGCCAATGCCACCGCATCCGTAACCCCCATACCCCCCCCCACAAAGCACCTTTGGCAGCAACTGCCCCCTCCCCCATGGCCTCAGGTTGTGGTTATGGTAGGGGTAGCCCTGGTTGTGTAAATGATAATTATTTACATCACAAAACAGTAAAATGTACACAGCTGTGCATTAGAAGATACACGCACACCCTCAGAAAAAGCAAAAAATTAAATGTATGCTTTTGGTGTTTGTTTTTTTTTTTTACATGCCTTTTCATGCGCACTTTCTGATTTTCATTTTACCGTTTGAATTGTATAACTTGGATGCTAATGAACCTCTTTCTTACTCTAGTCTGATAAGGGATCATACAGGCAGATGCAGAGGGCATTTAAAGTGTATCTAAACACAAAAGCAAAAATGTAGTATATTGCGGGTTACCAATCCTTAAAGCACCATTAAAGTCAAAATTCCCCCCTACTCTACGCTGGCAGGATGGATCCTGTCTGTGTCCGAGCCAGGGCACCTGCACCCGTACGGACCTACACTCGGGGTGAGCGTAGGGCGGCATACAGCCGGAACTCACATAGAGATGGACAGGGGCTGTGTTCTAATCGCACGCAGCACCTGTTCGGCCATGCATGCAGCACAGAGCTGTACGTGCCGGCCTTTTCTCGTGTGGATGAGGCCTAAAAACCACCCTATCCTAAAATGTAACTTAACATATAAATAAACCGAAGCAACAGCACCTCACCTGGGCCCTTCTAGATAATAATGTTTTTAAAAAAAGGTCTACCACGTCGATTGGGAAGTCCAGGTTCAGCACAAAATACATTTAAGTAGCATTAATGAACAAAATTGCAGTAACGCAGATAATGATTCTCCGCATTTTCCGAACCTTATTCCACTGGGAGGAAGAGACTGTTAGAATCAATTGAAAACAGTTTCTGACTTTGCCATTTGTTAGTTTGGGACACACTTGGCATTTCCTCAAGTAGCAATGACCTTGTAGTATTGCTAATTACTGTCTGGAAACCACTCAACCTTTCAGTCACTGTTCATCGAAAGGTGTATAATTACTCATGCTGGTGGCTGCCAAACTTTACATTTGACGGAAAGAAACTTTACAAAGCCAGATAGGAGTTTTGAAAGACGTTGAAACTTCCTTTAGCCTAAAATGGCAAAAAACTTCGACTAGACTAGACTGGCCTTAACATTGAGATTTGTCATAGTCTGGGAAAAGCTTGCCTGCCATTTATATGTACCGTATAGCGCATATATTTATAACACATTTACATCACAAATCTTATATATTTGTACCATTTACCGTATATATCACAGGTTATTTTTCAAACACATTATATACTATATATAAGTTTATTATGTATACCAGCACGTTCTCCGTTCTATTTTTTTTTCTCAATACGTTTACGTCTATTCAACATATAGGAAGTCATGGGTGAAAAATTGAGTGATTGTGTATTACTAAGGTCATCAGGGAGTGTGACATGAGATGTCACAGTCAGTACAATCTGTGTTACATTATGGGGATTGTGCACATTGGAATTTGTAGTTCTACAGAGACAGAAGAGTTATGAATGGGACAGGCCAGTACTACAAAGTACTACAGACACATGGGACATTCCAAAAAGGCATGCACTTGTGGATTCTACAATGACATGAGTGACACCAGTGGGATTTTCTGGGATTCTTTTACAGGAGCAGGGCACATACTAATGGGAAATGCCAAGCGTGGTAGGGGTGGGATTAGTGGCAGGAAATAATGCAGATATCATTAGTTACACCTGACCTTTCCATCTCCGCCTGATGAATTCTGGGCATTGGGCACTGCCAGAAAACATGAAAATTGATATTCAAAACATATTCTTCCTTTATTTTACTTTTGCTTATACTGTATATTTTCTATATGCTTAGATTTTGTTGCCTGCATTTATTTTCTTAGGCTTCTTTTTTTTAATATTTCTTATCAATTTCTGTTTTTAATACTATTTAGTACATTTGACATATAAGATTTTTATATTCTTATTATATGAAGTCAAGTGCTGTACCCTTAGTATGTCATACTTTTCTTTTAGATCCTACTTGCAGATTTCCCCTGTTTATTTGGTCTGATTTATTGTATTCTTCTAATTTTGTTTTCTGTATTTAATTCTAAAAGCTGATGAAAATGTTTGAAAACAAGTAATCCTGGCCCTCACAACCAGATGATTAACCACTTGAAGACCAGGGTGTTAAAGCCCCTTCCTGTCCAGGCCATTTTTCAGTATTCAGCGCTGCGATACTTTGACTGACGTTTATTCAGTCATGCAACGCTGTACTGCAATTAATTTTATACCATTTGGTTACCAAGTGGTTAATACAGATGGCAATGTCCTAATTCACATCCAGCTCCTGTGCACAGCAACCACTGAAGGTGCTGCTGCATCTTATGCAGCTTTATAGCTCGAGAACGGAGCGATCACAAACAGCTGATCACTCAGCTCACGGCTTCTCTCTGCAGAGAGCACTGGCTGTCAGTCATCTCTCCCCGCAGGGATTCCCCCACCCTTACTCTGTTCCTCCAGAGCTGACTGGAGGCACATACAGGGGAGGAGGTGAGCACAGCTCTGGCTCTAGAGATGCAGACCATGCTGTCAATGAGGCATCGGGTGGATCCTGATATTATTGGCAGGATCTTTCCTAGCGGCTCTGTGCTGTCAGAATATAGCGGGCAGTAGCCCGCTATATGTTGACTTTGGGTCACAGAAGGACTTTAGTAAATGTACTCCTGTGGCCCAAAAGAGAATTATAGCCAAAAAAAGGATGTCACATGGGTCCCTGGTAAGAAATGAAAAATGGGAAGCAGTCCCATTGTCGCTATTTTTAAAAAATGTGTATACATTATTAATGCAATGGCAAGTATATTTTATTTGTATTGCATTTACATTTATCTCATTACCTGTGCCTTTATTAATTTATTATCTCTTAAATGTGTTAACAGATCTCACATCAAGTTTACACATCTAACCCTGCAACACTAATGGCAGGTGCCCGCCTTTTTAACCAACATTCCAGGAATAAAATGTCCCACATACTATTTTCAAAGCCTGCAGGACATTCCAGACTGCTGAGGTTATGGCTTTCCACCCTCAGTTCCCTTGTAGGAGAAAAGAATCTTATCTTGATGGGTCCTCCAGGGTCCGGGAAGACCTCAGTTGGTAAAGTTCTTGGCCACAAGCTGGGTTGTCCCGTTATAGACGTGGATGACGACGTCCTTGAAAAAGACTGGAGAATGAGTGTGTCCAATAAATTGCAGGAAGTTGGTGATGAGCAATTTTTAGAAGAGGAAGGAAAAGCCCTTTTAAAGTTTTCAGCATCTGGAAGTGTGATTTCCCTTACGGGGTCCAACCCTCTTCACACTAGCAGCATGGAACACACAAAGAAAAATGGCTTAGTTGTTTATCTTGATGTCAATTCACAGGATATAGTTGAGAGGCTCGAAGGAATGAAAGTGGATCGTATTGTTGGGCAAAAGTCTGGAGCTACAATTGGCGACATACTTCAGAAAAGGAAGCATTTTTATAACAAGTGGCATGATGTGCGTGTACTCTGCCAAACAGGAGATACTGTAGAAGTTTTGGCTGAAAAAGTAATTGACGCAGTCAAAAAATATCAAAATGTAGACTCTGATATTTTTGTTTCTACAAGGTCCGAAAGTTGTGAAGCTGAAGTGAGCCAAGACAAAGCAAAATTCTTCAGTGACGTCGTCATTGAGGGTTTAGCTGCTGATGGTGGACTCTATGTTCCCAAAAATGGCCTACCAAGACTCACTGCTGGCGAGTGGGGAAGATTGGTTAAGTCAACCTATGCAGAAAGGGCAATGATAATACTGGAAAGGTGCATCCACCCAGCTGATGTCCCCGCTGTTGTTTTAGGAGAAATCATTGAAAAGGCCTATGGTGAAAACTTTGCTTGTAGCAAAATTGCCCCCATCAGGCATTTGTCTGGCAATCAGTTCATCCTCGAACTCTTTCATGGACCTACCGCTTCTTTCAAAGACTTGGCCTTGCAGTTTATGCCTCACTTGTTTGCCTATTGCGTCCCCAAAACATGTAACTATCTAGTCCTTGTGGCTACTTCTGGAGACACAGGTAGTGCTGTTCTGGACGGGTTTAGCCGCCTCAGTGACCTTGACAGGCGAAGATTGGCAGTCTTCTGTCTCTTCCCTGAAAATGGTATAAGCCAGGTACAAAAATCACAAATTCTTGCTTGTCAGGGAGACAATGGGTTGGCACTGGGAGTGAAATCTGATTTCGATTTCTGTCAGAGTGCAATAAAAGGCATATGCACCAATCCCGATTACACCGGCTTTCTTACAGCTGAGTATGGAACTACTCTGAGTACTGCTAATTCTATCAACTGGGCCCGGTTGCTGCCTCAAGTTGTGTACCACGCATCTGCCTATCTTGATCTAGTTAATCAGGGTGTTATAACTTTTGGGAGCCCAGTTGACCTATGTATTCCCACCGGTAACTTTGGCAACATACTTGCTGCCGTTTATGCAAAACAGTTGGGGATACCCATTCGAAAATTCATCTGTGCCTCCAATCAAAACCACATTTTGACTGATTTTATAAAAACAGGTCAGTACGATCTCAGGGGTCGGACATTACTGCCATCCAACTCGCCAGCAATTGATATTCTTAAGTCGTCAAACTTGGAGAGGTATTTACATCTTATCTCTAACCAGGACGGTGAACTTATTAAGAAACTCTATGGTCATCTAGAAAGTCAAGGTCATTTTCAGCTGCCGGATAATTTATTCAAGCATCTCCAGAAGGACTTTATTGGCAGTTGGTGTTCCGAGGCAGACTGCTTGTCCGCAATCCACTCTGTGCATGCAGCGAGCGGATATATCATGGACACACACACAGCAGTTGCCAAAGTTGTGGCCGACAGAGTACAAGACCGTACTTGCCCAGTTATCATCTCATGTACAGCTCATTATTCTAAGTTTGCACCTGTTATTTTGCAAGCTTTGAGGATTGAACAAATTAAGCAAAGCCCATTAAGCCAGCTTCATGTGTTAAATTCCTTCCGTCCCTTGCCTCCCGCTCACAAGGCACTCTTAACAATGCTTAAAGACAGGGAGTCTCATAAGAACCGTGTTTGTGAGGCTGATTCAAACCTTATTATGGACCACATCGAAAATTACCTCCAAAAACTATTCTTGAAGGTTTACTAGCGGTCATGGCAGCTATAATCTTTCCTGCAAAGATTTCTCCTTGACAAGCCAGTCATTTCATTTCATAGAATAAGAAAACAATAGCCAAAAATGTTATACTCGAGCAGATTAGGAAAATGAGAAAAACATCAAAATGTTTCAGGAAAGCCATTTCAATGCTAATTTTAAAAAGGAAAGACCTTCATACAAACGGGCTAAAATTAGGTTTGGAAAATGATTAATGTCATGTTTTTTTGCTCAGAAGGCATTGTGAGTTGTAGGAAAACAAGTCATGTCTCTAACTGCCAGAGGATGATGACAAAACTGATGGTGTTTCCTTTATGGTCTGTTATGTTGCTATGATCACAGCCCGTGGACTGTTCTGAATGCGTAATCCGGACCTAAGTGGTATGAATGACACCACACCCTTTTACCGGTCATTTATAGAAATGCCTATTTCAGACTGGTTACTAGTGGCAAAAGCTGGTTTTAGCAGTAATTGGATGAACAGCAATGCCCTCCTAATCTAATCTCACTATTCTGGACATAGTTGGGCAAGATTTGATGCTCTTACTGTTCCTGACCTTACAGGAAGATCCACCATCTCTGTTAGCTCATTTGTTCTGCTAATCTACTGTTGTCACTGTTTCTTCCCATGGGGGGAAAAAATGTCATGGTTATTCACAAAAGGGAGAAGAGTTGGGAGAAGACAGGAGAAGTGAACAATTTAGGACAGCAAAGCTGAACTGGAAAGTGAGCTGAATGGGATAATTTCTTCAAATCAGCTATGTTGTCCTAGATTGTTCACTTCTCCTGCCTTCTCCAAACTCTTCACCCTTCTGTGAATAACCCTGTCAGTGTCTTCTCAGTTGCCCCTGGATATTTGATATGCTAATACATACTTTGGTAGGCAATTTTAAATACTGGTCAGCCTACCTGTTCCCTCTTTTCTTTTTTTTCAGATAAGCTACTGTTGTCACTTGGTTTTTCATTAAAACAACAATTAATAAAACTGGAATATTGAAAGAAGTTGATTTACTAAAGGCATATAGACTCCAGTTTGCAAAGTGTATTTTAATACTGCAAAATTAAAAGTTCAGGAAGTATAGTGAAGCTGTTCCCAAATTGGAAAAGGAAGAGAGAAGGGGCAGATGACATTATAATCTTCCCCTTGTCCAATCAGAGAATGTCTTTTGTTTATTTAAAAAAAAACAACTAAATGGTAGAGGTGCTGAGTGAGGGATTTACTGTGTTCAGTATACACATGGAAGGTCGCTCAAGCAGTATCTGGAAGAGACAAGTGCTAACTGTATGTAGCACAGGATACTACAATGAGTTTCTGCATCCCCAGAGGTTCTCCGGGTGTGGGATATGAAGAAGTAGATGTAACCAAGCAGTTTAGCAAAGAAAAAGTATTCCTAGAGTTCAGCTTTAACTTGCTGATCCAATGGCTGATTCTAAATGCTGATCCAATGGCTTTAATACAGCAAGTCACTGACCTGAAACAAGAGCGCAGATGAAGATTTCTGACCTTCTGTTCTGTACACTTGCTCCAGGTTGGTCACTCAGAAAGTAATACACAAAGGGATAGCCAGGCAGCTAGTATCCATAGAACGCCCCCCATACTTCTCTCAGCAAAGGTTTCCTTTAGAGTGTATGTATTGCAAAAACTTTTTTTTTTGTTTTAAATAGAATAGGGAAGGTTTGAAACATATCTAAAAGCAATTTTGTGGCAGGCAAATGGAGTCCTAAATCTAGTTACTATGTTGTAAAAAAGCCTTATGATTTTTTTTTATTAAAAACTTGTTTTACCTTTCTTGAGTCAGACAAATTCCCCTTCATTTGTGTCTCACACGCTCCCCCTCCCAGACACTACAGCTCACAGTGGAAGGATTTCAGGAACGTAGGCAGTGATGTCAATCCAGGAAGCAGTGGGTAGGACTAGGTGTGGTCAGGTGCTGACTGACAAGCTGTATGCCTGTGAATCTACAGTGACAATGCTGATAGCCATGTCCCCTGAAACATCATCTCATCCCACTGTAGTGTAAGTAGCTACAACCTACATGAGGGTAAAAACTGTATTGAATTTAGGAGCAGTGCAGCATTGTTGCCACCTTTTCACATAAAACTGTATTAGGCGGACTTCATTGGCTGGATGAACAGGTATTTGGGGGACTTTGCAGGGGGGCTTAAGTTCACACCGGAGCATTTTACGCATGGATTTATTTGCACGGAAATGTGCAAAACACACATTTACATGCAAGTCAATGGCGACTGTTCACACCCTAGCATTGCATCTCGCGTAAGAAAAAGCCTGTTGCGTGAAAAGATGCAGGAGGTATTTTCAGGCAGATGTCGCGAGGTTTTGGTCCCATAGACATCTCCATGCAGGGAGAAATGCGCGTTTTTAAAAGCAAAAATGCGCGCAAAAATTGTGCAAAAACATGCAAAACTGCAGACGCCTAAGTGTGCACCTGCCCTAAGAGAAAACTGGCAGTGAGGATGCACTTATAATTAAGTGGTGCAGCACATACAGTAGTTCTGCTTTAAAACCCCTGCCAGTTTTTTTCTGTGTCCTATTGGAGAGATTTCTCTTCACCTCCTGCTAGGGTTGCCACCTGTCCAGGATTCACCCGGACAGTCCGGGTTTTGAATGCTGTGTTCGGGTTTCATGGCATCAGAAACCCGGACACAAGGTGTCAAGGTGACAGGGAGAAGCAAAATTTAGATAGGGGCTACTGGCCCCCCACTAAAAACAGTCTCAACTGTGATATTTACATATGAATGGGCGGCGCTATGTACATATGAATAAGCTACGACTTATTCTCCCCAAAAAATGTATGCGCGTCGCTAGAGTGTTCGGGTTTGGCTTGAAGAAAAGGTGGCAACCCTACCTCCTGCCCAACAGGAACATTAGATAGTTATCACAGGAACAGATGGAACATTTTGCTGTTCTGATGCAAACTGTAAAATGTTACATTTCCCATTACTTTCTGTCTCAGGGAAAGTGGTCACTAGGAAACATAGAAAGAGTGAATCTAACTAACGGGGGACAGAAAAAAACAAAAACCTGACAGTGGTTCTATCTATCCCCTACCCCTCTTATCTAAAATACAAAAAAAGAAACAGTTTTGGCTATAAAATGACTGTGTTTATTCCAGAAAATAAAGAGCTTACAGTAAGAAAAGGATATAAAATTATTTAAATGTTTACCTAAAAAAAACAAACAACTATTAGGCCTCATTCACACTGCCGCGCATATACGCGCGTATCGTACCATATGCAACATATGCAAATAAATGGCTCCATACACATAGCCGCGTATGGAGCCGTATATTTGCGTAGCGTATATATGCGCAAAAACAGAATGGAACCGAGATGCATCCGGGCAGCGTATTTCTGCGTATTTCAGTTCATAAAAATTTCCATTAGGAATGATGCATTCTGGGAATGCAAATAGTGCACGCATAGACGCTCGTATATACGCGCATAGACGCGTATATATACGCAATATACAATTTTGCTTGCGTTGTGTGAATGAGGCCTTATAGTTCCAGTTTGTCATATTGCTACATAGTTATGTTAGTGTGTGCTACAGAAAGAACCAAGAGAGCAAGCACACTTTCTTCTCTGTGCCTTTATTAAAGGATACTACTGCCTTCCCCAGTTGCTTATTAAATAAAGGTCATTGCCCTTTTTCCATGTTTTATTATATAAAGGTCATTGTATTTCTTCTAGCTGTCCTAGATGTCTAACTTTACGGAACAATGCCATGAAATAAATAGCAATGCAATTAGTGTTTGTTTGTTTGATTTGCAGTTTACTGCTGTGACTGTCACCAAGAAAACCTCTAGCTTTGCTCATTGTGTTCATGTCAATTTCTTTTTTGAATTCAAGTGACCTCTGGTGGCTTCACAAGGTAAGTGCAACTGAAGGGAGCCACTGAGTAGCCAATACTGTATTATTTATTACGGGTATTTATATAGCACCAACAATTTAGGCAGCGCTTAACATACTGCACATTCACATCAGTCCCTGCCCTTAGGCTAGGTTCACACCTAGGCACTCCATGCATTAAAAAACCGCATGATTTTCGCAGCAAAATCACGCATAAAAAAATCAGCGCAAAAACAGCTCATCAGTTCAATTGCCTAGGTGTGAAGCTAGCATCAAGGAGCTTACAGTTTAAGTTCCCTATCTGGCATACATACAGGACCAGGTTAGACAGGAGCCAATTAACTTTCCAGCACGTCTTTGGAGTGTGGGAGGAAACCCATGTAAGCACAGCGAGAACATGCAAACCCCTTGCAGATACCGGGGATTCGAACCAGGGACCAACAGTGCTGCAAGGCAGACATGCTAACCACTAATCCACTGTGTTACTGAGCAAATATGTAACATGTTCATGCTTCTAGTCAGCACATGAACTAAATAACGTCTTGTGCTGCTTCTTTCTTTCATACTCCAGCCATGCTGTGCATGGACTGCAAGTGGCTGATAGCAGGTCAAACTTAGGTAATTACACTGCTTGCATTTAAAAACATACATTTAATGATGTATTAATGTTTCCAGATCTGCATTCTGTCTTTTTTATCTGCCTGAAGTTCAGGTTTATAATGTACCTACTTTTTCTAAGCTTGTGAGGTAGCTCATCTGAAGTGAGATATAAGAGATGAAATACTTAGCAGAGGTTTCACATACTGCAATATGTTCCATCATTGTAGGAGACAACACAGCACATTGCGGGTATTTAGGAAGGTAACAGATGTACTTTGCACAAGGATGGAAAATGCAATGCTGGTTACAATAATGTCATTTTAAAGTGCAATTATTCTTCGATGGAGCACTGCACTGTGCACATTGTTTTCTGTGAGAGAACATAGGCCCCATTTATTAAAGTGGAGAAAGCAGAGATCCTTCTTGTTGCCCAAAGCAGCCAGGATTCTTCTTTTATTCTTCATGCTGCACTGCGAAATCGCTGTGGGCAACAAGAACAGTTTTTATGTATTTTTTTTTATATACAGAATGCATTGAAAACAATTCACAAAACAAAGAAATAGTCACAGATGGGTTTATATTTTAATAACCATTCCAAAATCTAGGGATGCACCAATACCAGTTTTTCGGTACTTTTTTCTTTTCGGTTTTGCTTTTCGGTACTTGTCGATGATGAGTACCAATACCGGTGCTTCCACTGCCATGGAGCCAACTTCCCGGGCAATCAGATTGCCTGGGAAACTGGCTCCACGTTGCCTAACCTGCTTGATTGAGCTTGGCCGGGAAACCAGCTTCCCAGCCAATCAGCATCGAGCTGGCAGCCAATCAGGAAGCCAGGCGGCAAGTAATGACCCGCCTCCCAGCTTCCTGATTGGCCAGGAAGCCGGCTCCATGCTGATTGGCTAGGAAGCCAGCTTTCCACCCAATCAGCATCGAGCCGGCTGTTCCTCTGGATCAACA